CCATCTTTTACTTAGTCGCTTGTTTCTTCCAGATTATTTATTTGAAAGGCAGCTACAGAAAGAAAGCACAAGAGTGGGAGAGATTAAGAATTTGAGATATAGGGCCTAGCGCAGTAGCCTAGTGGCTAAAGTCCTCGCCTTGCATGCGCAAGGATTCTTATATGACCATTGGTTCTAACTCCGGTGTCCCCGCTTCCCACCTGGGAAAGCAGTTGAGGGTTCCCAAAGCCGTGGGACCCTGCACCTATGTGTGAGGACCTAGAAGAGGTCCTGGGCTCCTGATTTCAGATCAGTGCAGCTCTAGTCATTGCATCCACTTGGGGAGTAAATCAGCAGACAGAAGATCCTCTTCCTGGCAGCTCTGCTTATGACCAGCTCCACACTAATGGGCTGAGAAAGCAAAAGATGGCCCAATTCCTTGGGCCCTTGACCCAAATGGGAGACCCAGAAGAAGCTCCTGGCATTGAACCTGCCCATCTCTAGCCATTTGAAGAATGAGCCAGCAGATGGAAGATCTCTCTCACTCTGTCTCTTCTTTTCTCATAAGTCTGCCTTTCCATTGATCTTTTAAAAACCGATGTTATGATGGAGTGGCTGGTTGAGTTTGGATTATGATGGAGTACCTTTATGAGTCTGATCCAGCTCCTTGCTCAGGTCCCTGGGAAACAGCAGAAAACGGCACAAATCCTTAGGCCCCGGCCGTCCACATGGGAGACCTGGGTGGAGCTTTGGGCCCTTGGCTTTGGGCTGGTCCAGCTGTGGCCATTGTGGCCCTTTGGGGCGTGAACTAGCAGATGGTGACCTCTGCATCTCTGCCTTCGGAAGAAATAATCTTAAAAAATTAAAAATTGAATTAGAACACCTGCAGTAGTGGTGTCGACCCTGCACTTGGCCGCAGGCCTCACTGCTCTTTGTTGACCTTCACCCATCCCTCACCTCTCTCACCAGCTTGGCCTAACAGCATTGTGCTTACAGCTTCAGCCCACTCTTCTTTGTCCCACCGTCACACTTTGAACTTCTCTGACTGATGTTAGCCTCAGGGTACTAAGAAGCACGTAAGGTCAGCACTTCTTTGAACCCTGTTAGACTTGCATGGGTAAGGCCTGGCCCCTGGCGCAGCGGTGCTGCGTGTCTTCCTGAGTTTATCCTAATTTATCCTTGTGGGTACAGCGCCTGCTGCCACGTGTGCTCTTTACCAAAGTGCCCTTCTTTAAAAATTTCAAACTGTCTTTCCACGTAGCTCATGAAAACAGGTCTCCTATCTTTTTAGAGACAGTAAATATTTGTCATGTTGGCCATTCAGAAAAGCCCCAATGCAGTGAGATCCAGTTAGCGAGGCCTGGGGAGGAGATGGAGGTATGGCCACCCCCCAAACGGCTTGCACCTGGCTTGGAATCTGGTCATTTCCCCAGTCATACCCACACATTTGAGGACTATTGGTGGTGTCACGGGCAACCCTGCTGGGCAAGTGCCAGCTTTGCTGCCCATCAGCTTTCTGGAGGGGAGACAAAAGAACATCTGCACACGCTGAAAGGCCCCCTGAGCAGCCCCGGGCATCTCCTGTTGTGATAAGGACTCCTCCCCACCCAGTGGCCCTGTTGATGACGCACGCAGGAGCCTCCCTCTCCCATGCCCACGGCAGGCAAGGTTAACTGATCAGACCTCAGCAAGGACCTTGGTCAGTTGCTGATGTTTATCTGGGTGTGTGGTTCTATTCTGCTGGTTTTCTTCCTAACTATTGAGTTTTCAGAGTTTTTTTTATATATTCCGAAACAAATCCATTGTGAAATACGGTGCCACGATATTTTTTTTTCCTGTGTGTGGCTTGGATTTTTATTGTCTTAAATGTTTTCAAAAGTAGCATTTATTTGCAAGTAACACTCATTGAATTTTCATATTCAATCTCCCCAGGATTTGTCCCTATTCTTTTTCCTACTTCCCCCTTTTTCCTGCCTTTCTTTGAACGTACTTCATTTTGCTGTCTCATCACTTTTGTTGGTATATTAGCAGCAATCTTTCCCTTTGTTGTTTAGTGTTTTCTACAGCTGACACTTGTAACAGCCTATTTCAGAGGATGCCATGCCACTTCCCATACGGCGGGAACGTCAAACAGCACGCTCTCATTTCTCCTCGCTGGGATTTGGTGTTATCACTGTCAAACTAGTCATGCTGTCAATGTCACACATTTAAAACAATTGTTTAATAGGACCAGCGTTGTCACACAGGGTGTTAAGCCACCAGCTGAGGCAGCGATATCCTAAATGAGCGCCAGTTCAAGGCCTGGCTGCTCCACTTCCACTCCAGCTCTCTGCTAATGTGCCCAGGGGAGAGAGACAGCCTGGCTGCTTGAGTACCTGCTGCCCACGGGGCAGACCCACGTGGACCATGGCTTCAGCCTGGCCCAGCCCTCGCCGGGGAAGAGAAGCAGCAGAGGGAAGATCCCGTTCTGCTTCCACCTGTCTCTCTATAACTCTGCCTTTAAACAAACAAACCTGAAACAACAAAACTTAAAAACATCAATGATATTATAATAAGATGGAAGATTAAGATTAAGAAAGCACTCAAATATCATTTCCAGTACTCGCCATCCTTTGCACAGATCCATAGAACTATCTGGTAAACTTTTCTTCTTCCTAAGAACTTAAACAACTGTTTTTATGGTGTGGGTCTATTGGAAATGAATTGCCTTAGTTGGTGTACAAATGAAAAGAAACAAACAAAAAAAAAACCTTCTTTTTTTTTGAAAAACTGTGCCGTGTGTAGTAGTGTATGAAGACTCTTCTTCCTTTTAGTTAAACTTCAAAACCTGTCTGCTGGTTCACTCCTAAATCCCAGGGACAGCGGGGTTGGGCCAAGTCGAGGTTGGGAGCCAGGAACTCACTCTTCCACTGTGAGTGGCAGAGACCCAACTACCTGAGCTGTGGCCTGCAGCCTCCCGAGGCGTGCCTTAGCAGGAAGTTGGGACTGGGGACAGAGCTGGGACTCATCCAGACATTCTGATGGGAACTGCACATGTCCCAAGTGGTGTCTTAACAGCCATGCCGAACACCCAGGCATCAATACTTACATTGCTCCTTAGGGCACACCCTACCATCTGGCCTGAGAGGAACTTTGCCCTCACTCCCTGGCTGCTGGGTCACACCTGTCTGGGTTGGAGGTGGGCATCTGGGCTTGGTTCACTTCTTTTCCACTATTCAAAACTGTAGCTGCTAAAAAACAGGAACTAGAGCAACACCTGGACTCAATGGAAAGGCCGTGAGGAGCAGCGAACACACCTGTGCGAAGTGGCGGCCAGATGCCCTCAGTATTTGTTGACGCCTCAGGTCTGCTTAGCAGGCACGGCATCAACATGAGCGGTGACACCTGACCCTCGGCTCTATGGTCACACTGTCATGCAACTTTCTCCTTGCCACCAACCAGACTGGGGAAAACCAGAGTTCCCATACACCTTTGTTCAATCCTTTACTTTCCCATGTCCTAAGAAGACTTAACCCTCTCTCACCACACGTTCCCCAGATCAGCAGTGTTGCTCCAGGGCTGTGTATAGCGTGACCCGTATCCGTATCAGTCAGACTCACAGGGAATTATGGTAAGTAACTTAAAAGGACGCCTCCCATTTACGGACTGGTGGAATGAAGCTCACACACAATGCCTCTGCTGTCCCCTCAAGTGAAGAGACTCAAAGCAGGAATGTCACTTTCATTCGGCCAGTGGGGGAAGGGGAGCAGAGGCCTCCACAAGTTCACTCCAGAGGGACCAACCTGTTCCAAGAGAAAACACTTTACAAAGGTTTGGGAGCCAGAACACCTTGGTCCTAGCAATCTGCGACATGCTCTGTGCCTGTCTGAGTTGAGGAAAGACCACGACATTGCTGTGGGTGAGGGATGAATCCGCACTTGCTGAGTAGGTCATCATCTTTATGGAAGCATGCTTCACTTGGGGCAGGATCTGGACAGGCAGAGAAACCCTCGGCCATGGGGAAGGCCTCCCAGATGAGTGGCCCGCCTTTTCCATCACTGGCTTTATTCCTTGGAAATAAAGGAGCAAGAGAAGGTTGCTTTCGTTTTTTAAAAAAGTGGAGATGAGTACCTCCAGGTAACAATGCTGCTTGGCTGCAAGCGGAAACAGAAGGGGCTGTCTGTAAAGAGGGTGCAGGGGATTGGGTGAGAATAAATGAAGGGCATCGACCTGAAGCTCAGCCTGATTGGGGCTCGTGTGTCTGGGTGCTGGGAGTCAGAAGGGCTCAGGGGGAGGCAGAGCACATTTCCGCTTCCGAAATTTGGAAGGAATGCCGTTTTGGGAGCAACGATGGTTAGGTTGTACTGTTTTGCACTACTCAGCCTCCTCTTAAGAGCGCAAGCTTTCACTGATTTGGAAAATAGAAGTTTGGATGAAAACCTCAGCTGACTGCAAAGTTATTCCTGAAAGGAAAAGGAAAAAACAAAGAGATTCTGAGGCAGACACAGGTGGAGGGGATGTGTGGTCAGCGGCTCTGGGGAAGCTGCACCTGTGCCAGTGGTCCTGGCTGCCTGGCTGGAGGTGCACTTCCCTGCAGGGCAAACTCTGAAGCTCCCAGGGCGGCTGGGGCGGCTGAGGGGGCTGAGAGGGCTGGGGGGCCCTGGGGGGCTGAGGGGGGCTGAGGGGGGCTGAGAGGGCTGAGGGGGCTGGGGGGCTGAGGGGGCTGAGAGGGCTGGGGGGTCCTGGGGGGCTGAGGGGGCTGAGGGGGCTGGGGTAACTGGGGGGCTGGACGGGCTGGGGCAGCTGAGGAGGCTGGGGGGCTGAAGGGGCTGGGGGGCTGGGGGGGCTGGAGCAGTTGGGGCTGCTTCTTCCCACTCAGCTGCTTTTGCTTGACACCAGCAAAACCTTACTCCAAGTCAAAGAAAAGTCAAGCCAGACGAGGGATTTCCACAAGTAACTGGCTACTTTTGGGGGTAAGATGTTTTGAACTGGAAATCTTAAAGAGCAAAAGTTGCATCAAAAGCACGTGGTTATTGGAGAAATATCATAAAACATCTTTTTTTTAATGTGAACACTACTTCATACAATGAAAAACTATTTACAATCTGTTGCTTCCACATCGTGTCTCCCCAGGAGGCCTCAGCCAGGAGCTTCGGTCCATTGCACGTTCTTGTCTTCCGTGGCTCCCTGGGCCCCTGGGCGCCCGGGGGCCTGTCCACTTACATTCTCCTTGGTAAGTATGGCTCAGCAAGCACGCCGCCAACGTCTGGCAACCACACACAAGTTAAAAAGGCGTAGATTAGGGTTTCTCCTCCAATAAATACTAAGTTGACAGTCCAAGCCGTTTCCATCTTCAGAAAATGTTTTCACCTAGGAAAACGCCTGTTTCCTAATGGCTCTAGACTGTGCAATTGTTCTTCACACCGGAGCTGTATTAGGGTGTCTTTGTATACAAATATAGCATATTTTGGCCAGGAATATGATTTCTTGTTAAAGAGTTTATTTGCTTTTCACACGCAGGATTGCTACATACATTCACAGTTTTAATAGACTGCAATGGGCGATTCCAGTTGTGCTTTAAAATCCCGTTTTCAGCGAGGGCAAAGCCGGCGTCCCGGGGTGCCCGTGGTCCCGGCTCCCGCGGCGCTGGCTCACTCCCCGGTCTCGTCGTTGGCCTTCTCGGGGATGACTTCCAGGCTCCGGCGGGGCTTCTGGCCCTCCGCGCTTTCCGTGCCGGGCTTACTCAGGCCGCAGGAAACAGCAGCGTAGTGGATTTGCTTCAGATTCTCCAAAGTCTCGTTCTTGGCGTACTTCAAGAGGTCTGCCTGCCCCTGGAACAGAGATGCCGCTCAGTAAGACTTGGAACGTGATTTGCTCTTATACTTTTAACAATAATAGTACACAGCCCCTCTGCTGAAACAGAAATATTTTGATTCTCCAAGAGGGAGTATGTATTATTCCTTATTGGCAGTGCATCTGAATAGGTAAATTCTGACTTAAAAATTCAAAACAAAACAAAACAAAACCCACCAAAAACAAAAACCCAGGTTGTTATCCCGGTTTCAACAGCACACTCCTGAAGTCGGCTGCTTGTCTCGGGTCTCGGCCTTCTGCATTCACACAGCCGGTAGGGTTACCCCGGCTGACGTTATATCTCCCCTTAATTGTTTGGATAATCTTCTCCCCTCTTCAGTTGGCATTTTATTGAACTTTCTTTCTGGAATCACTGTAAATAAAGAAGGCTGCCGAGGTGGTGGAGGTCTTGTTTATGCTGGATGGGAAGTGGGCCACCAGGATTAGAACCGGTGCCTGTATGGGATCCTGGTGTGTTCAAGGTGAGGACTTTATCTGCTATGCTATCGCACCAGGCCCTGGACACATTTTGTTTTTTTCAATCCAAACATTAGCAACTTAACCAACTTCAGCAGTTCGTCTACCTGTTCTTGTCAGGGTTCAGAGACTTCTTTGAGGCAGGGCTGTCTTGGGCATCTTTGGCCAATGAGCAGCAGCCATGGCCTTTGCGTATTAGATGCAAGGAGTACCACCTGTGCAACTGTGACAACCAAGATCTGCACGTTTCTGCTTCAGGTCTTGGGTGGGGCGCTGTCCCTGTGTGGGAGCCAGCAGGCCTTGGGTGGGGCGCTGTCCCTGCGTGGGAGCCAGCAGGCCTTGGGTGGGAGCGCTGTCCCTGCGTGGGAGCCAGCCGCTGACTGAGTGCAGAGCAGGCAGTGCCGGTGGTGCCCACTGCCGTAAATCTAACATGTTGCCTTGGTTTTCTTGTCCTATTCTTCCTTTCCAGCGTAGCCTGCCTTCCACGAACAGTTGGATTTTCAGTATCATCTTCCCTTTTTTCTTATTCTCCTGGCTCACTTCTCACTCTTTCTTTTCCCCTAATTCTGTTTTTAAGATTCCTCTGTAGCTTTTTATTTTATTTTGTTGGAGGAGGTTACACTCACATCCCTGCTCCTTTTCTTAAACCGCCTCCCAGTGTGTGCCCCCTTCCCAGGATTCCTGCACTAACAGAGCTCTGGGCCGGCTGCGGAGGGGGTCGGGGAGGACTCGCCTTGGCAGGGAACCTGTCACCAGACCGCAGCCACTGCTGAGGCCAAACTGCAATGCGAGTTCAAATCACTGTGAGGCCCGAATCCACTGGCTGGTGTCCTGCCCACCAGGGACTGCTCATGAGCTCCCTGCCTTAGAGGGACTTCCAATTAGGGACTATAAATAGATGTTCTGCAGCTTAGCCGAGCTGAGAGTTCCACTGTTACTCATCCTTACTATGCGCTGAGCTCCTGTGCTGAGAACCCGATAGTCAAGAGGGCTTTATATATGAATACTGCAGATTGTGTCAGAATAGAATTTCTTATTAAAACAGTTCATTTGCCTTCACAAGCACACACTCCACTTTGAACAGCTGGTAACTAAATATTGCATTTGCTATCTTAAATACCAGTTCTCTTATGTTTATATTAGTAACTTTTATTTTGTGGAGCAGTTTTAGACAGACAGCAAAGTAGAGCAGAAAGTACAGAATTCTCACAGCCCCATCCCCTGCCATGTCCCTCACTGTCAACGTCCCACGCCATGGTGGCACATTTGTTATCACCGATTCGTCCACGTCATGACTGCGCAAAGGCCGCCGCGTGGGGTTACTGTACTGCCTGTCATTATTCTGTGGTATTACAGTACAATTTCACTGCCTAAAAATCCTCTCTACCCTGCCTAGCCACCCCTCAACCTTAACCCTCGAAAGCCACTCGTCTTTTTGATTGTCCTCACCCTTTCCCTGGTTGGTTGTCACACACTTGGCAGCTTTTCAGACTGGCTTCCTTCACTTGGTAACGTGCGCTGAGGGCCGCTCCATCTTCTCATGGCTTGACACTTCATTTCTTTTTAGTGCTGAATAATTTCTCATTGGATGTACAAGTTTTTTTATCCATTCACTTACTAGAGGACAAGCTAGTTGCTTCTAATTTTGGATAGTTATTATTGAAGCTGCTATAAATACTTGTGTGTAAATTTCTGTGTAACTCATATAGCTACACATCAAGGGGTTTGATTTGGGGTTATATGGCAAGAGCGCAGGGCAGTGGTGTGGTACAGTGGGTTAAGCCACCATCTGCAACATTTGCATCCCACATCAGAATGACAGTCTGAATACTGGCTGCTCTGCTTCCAATCCAGCTTCCTGCTAACAAACCTCAGGAGGCAGGAGAGGATCGTTCAAGTGCTTGGGCCGCTGGCATCCAGGGGGAAGGCCCAGATGGAGTGCCAGGCTCCTGGCTTTGGCTAACACTGACTGGCATAAAGCAATATGGCAGATACACAGGGCAGCCAGGCCCAGCACCAGGACGCTCTGTTGCACTCACCCTCAGCGTGCCCCACTCGAGTCTGCGTGCATCCCCTGCTTGGCAACCGGGTCGGCATGCATGTTATTTCCCCACCTAAGCCCTCGTACTTTCCCACATGGCACGTCTCCAAGAGGCCTGTGACCTTCGGCATCTGAGATGACAGGACAAGGGTCCAGGCAATCCCCTGCTGTTTCTCTGCAGCCAGACCCAGAGATCTGAGCCCAGAACAACCCCAACACAAAGCTCATGGCCAGGAAAGAAAAGCTAGGCTGACACTGGCTTTGTACCTCATTTGTTGATAGTGTGTGGTCACAAATACAGTGCCTTTTAGTAAATATTTTGTGGCTAGTCACTGTTTGGGGTGGTGACACACTGATCTAGAAATCAAATACGTTTCATTCTGGTATTTCATAGGTATTTAGCACCCCAGGCCATGCGCTCTCAACCATGGGAACAACGCGGAGATCCAGGGTGGCTGGGGGCTTGGGGAGCAAGGGCTGGATGGAGAGGGAACAGGGGCTCTTCAGCTCAGTGATAATACTTGGCATGTTACCACAACAAGCTGTACACAGTAAAGATGCACAGTCAAAATTTCTTTAAAACTAGTGGGAACACGTCATTATGTCCAAATCCACAGAGTGCACAGTGGCAAGAACGACCCTTAACGTGGGCTGTGGCTACTGGGTGATCATGGGCTGTGAGTGCAGCTCTCCTGCCTTCAGGGGTGGGTGCTGCTCATTGGGAAAGCAGCCGAGGTACTGGGAAAACAGCTGTTCTCTACTCTCAGCTGTGAACCAAAAACCGTACAGAAAAATACAAAAAGACTTTATGGAAGTCATTTAATACATTTCTTACAACCTCAATTCAGACTGGCTCAGAAGGGATGTAGATGTAATTACAGGCCTAAGATTGAAGCCACAGAGCCTCCAGTATGTCAAAATGGGGGGCGGGGAGGGGAATGTAGCGTATACCAGTGCACTCGGTGCCCAGGGAGAACCCCTGACTAACTCCAGCGAGCACGCTGGGCCCTTCTGCCACTGGCCACTCCAGACTGTGGCAGGGCAACGGGCAGAAGCCCAGGCCTCGCTCCTGCAGCAGCCAGGCAGCTGTCAGCTCGCCCCAGCAGAGCGTCAGAGAGGAAGCAGGAGCCTTCCCTTCACCCCACGCTAAGAGCTCCCCGTGGGGTCCCGGCTGCGGGTCTGGGGACCACCCGGGAGGAGCAAGGACCACAGAGAGCCGACCTCTGCTTTCCAATTCTCTATTTGCCTATAATTAAATAAAAACAAAATAAGCGTTTGTTCCTTCCAATGGCTTAAACTGTTCTGTTATTTTGTTTGGTTTTCTGCTTTGTCAGGAAGCTTGCCATGGACACGCATCCCCCTCCCCCACCACCTTTGGTGGGGTGTGAGCCAAGTCCCTTGTCATTTTAAATTCTTGTTTGATGTTTACTGAACTGCAAAGCATCAGGATTAAATTCTAAGCACAAGACCTAGAAGTAGATATTAGGGAGAGAGAAGTGCAAGATGTGCCTTGAAGAACTCATGAAAATTATTTTAATGACAAAATAGAGGAGGGTAACATGAGAACATGCAAGTTGGCTAGTCTTGGAAGGAGGACCTTGCATAAGCTCAAATCAGAGGGCTGCTGTCAGCTACCCGGACGAGCTTTCTAACTGGCCGGGGAATGAGGAAACCGAAAGTGCTGGCTGTGATAAAGTCTTCACAGTCTTGAATTTAACTGAGCGTGAAGTTTGGAGGGCGAATACCAGGCAGCAAGTTTACATTCAGTTGTCCCAAGATCCAGAATGAAAGACCATCTCCATCACATCCCCAGGCCCTGGGAAGAAAAGCACCAACTGTTGGGGGTAAACGTTGAAAAGTTGCAAGAAATGGACACAGCACATCGGGGTCCACAGCCCAGGAAGGCTGGCACAAAGGCAAGGAGCAGGCACTGTCTCCGGGGCCGGGTCTTGTCCACCTGCGTTTATTGCTCTACTGACACATTCTCCAAGGTCAGTGTACAACTTCTCTAATAAAAAATACTAAGTCAATTTTTAACACCAGCCAAGGCGACACGGAAATACATTCTTTTCCCTTGAAGGAAAATTGCTTTCAAATGGAAATTCTTTCTTTATTTCCTTTGATTATGCTCCACACAATTCTTTTCTATTTTTTTTCTAGAGTCAAGGCAACATGAAGGCAGTGTTAATATTTTAAAGCGTTAATGAAATCTGAGTCACCAGAATCTACATTTCCAATTATTCTCTTGAAGTTGGTATTTTTCTGTTGGCATCTGGCATTTAGGAACTTTAAAACGCTTCCAGGACAAAATGATAAATTCTTTTGTGGTTTTTTTTTTTTCCCTCATCAGAATCTGCAGTGAGCCAGCCAGAAGTCCCCAAGCCACCACACGGAGCGAGCGTGTCTGCAGCCTCCTGGGAAGGCAGGGCCCACATGAGCTGGGACAGCCCCCGGTTGGAGGATGTTCCGGTCAGGAGGACACGCTGACGCAGCGGAGTCACAGGCCCTGTGGTACCTTTAAGATGGTGATATTCCAGGTGAAGCTCTCCACCGCCTTCTGCAGCTTCCGCTCCTTCAGACCTTCCTTGGTGCCGATGCTATGCAAGTGCTCGTGGAATTCCATGGCTGAAAGAAATAAAAACACAGATTTCAGTCACCGTCCCACCCAATCTGGGAACAGGTGACACAGCTCCATCCTTCCACAGAATTTAGAACACCGTAACGGGAGGGACAGAACATGGCCAGTGTCGCACGGCGGAGGGCATCGGGCAAGACTCAAGGTCTCCAGCAGGTGTAGAAGGGGAAATGGAGTCCAGCGATTCCTGTCACTCTTTAGAGCAGAGGGGCTCGGATCTCAGAGGCACCCAGCGCCGCAGCAGTCTGTGGGTGGCCCTGTCTCGAGCCACTGAGGCAGACGGGGACAGGGAGCACCTCCTGCTCACGTCGGAATGCCCGCCGAACTCGGTTTTCTAGGCCTTTCTACTGAGCAAGTGTGGAGTATAGCTACACAGCTGTTTTGGAAAACAGTAAGGCGAGGGGCTTCCTCAGAAACCTGGAAATGGAGCTACTCCGTGACCCAGGTGCCCCTCAAGTGGTGCTTATCCGCCGGGAGTAAAATCCCTGTGTCCGAGAGTGCACGTGGGTACTGCAGCACCATTTGCCACGGCCAAGATTTAGGAGCTGCTGATGTTTCTCAACAGGCAAGTGAATTAAAAAAAAAAAAAAAAAACCTGTAGTATTTGTACACAACGGGAGATCACCCAGCCACTGTGCCAACACGGACGGAGGACAGGCGTCAGATGAAATAAGCCAGACACACAAAGACAAAACAGCACGTTCTCACGCTCACTTGTGGAAATCGACCACAGGGCAGTAGAGACAAGGAGAGAGGCTGAGTGTGCTGGGTGCTGCTGCTCTGCTGTGTAGGCGCTAACTGGAGCTGGCAACACTTCATTATGTATTTTGAAAGAGTCTGCAGGTTCCAAAAATGTGGAAGTGATTTGACCAATACATACTGCACACAGGCATGGAATTTTAATGCTGCATCCCATAAATTAGTACCAATAGTATATGTCCCAAAATAAAATTTTAAAGAATGACAAATATTTTCAATAGTTCTAACGCTAATTTCCATAGCCTTATTAATAGGAGTTTTCAAATTTTGTTCATTTTTTTCTTCAGTGTTAAATTCTGTTTTCTAAGCATCACAATATAATGACTAATAGAAAGACTATCGAATCATCTGAACTTTGTCATTCAAGTACATCTTATTGAGAATGTCCATAAAATATTAGGTTCTAAGGTCAGCTGGGATCATTCTTTTCTAAAAGGAATCTCACTAGAAATATACATTCAGTCTCACTGATTGCATCATCTCATTTTGCATGCGTGTGCATGTCTGTCTTGTGTGTGTGTTGCTTTAGGATGACATCACAACTACATGAGCTCCGGGCACAGCGCAGTGGCCTAGCGGCTAAAGTCCTCGCCTGGCACTCGCCAGGATCCCATATGGGTGCAGGTTCTAATCCCAGTGGCACCGCTTCCCACCCAGCTCCTTGCTTGTGGCCTGGGAAAGCAGTCAAGGACAGCCCAAAGCCTTGGGCACCAGCATCCTGCATGTGCTCTGGTTCAAGATTCAGGTGCTCTACTTCCAATCTAACTTCCTGCTTATGGTTTGGGAAAATAGTGGAGGATGGCTCAAGTCTCTACTGGAGGTCTGGAGGAAGCTCCTGGCTCCTGGCTTCAGACTGGCCCAGGAAATGAACCATAGATGGAAGATCTCTCTCTCTCTCTCTCTCCCCTTCCCTCCCTGCCTTTGAAATAAAAATAGATAATATGTAAGGTCTAATAAAAGTTCAAAGAAAATGGTATTTTTCTTTTAGAAATGGGCAAAGTGACACTTTTTTTAGTCAAAATATTACAAAGCTCAGAATTCAAAATAGTGACTGTCATCCTATCGCTATTTGAGCTGCTCCACATCTGTTTTCTTTAGTAACTGATTTGTGTATTAACTTAGAGACTGGCCTTTGTTAATACGCTGGAGTGAATTTGCTAATCCCCTGCCTGAACTATACACTGATTTTGCTTTTTTAAGTTAAGAGAAGGATTTTCATCTTGACCTAGAACTGGGCCTGACTCGGCCTTATGTAATCAATGCTCTCCAGAGGGCTGTCTTCGGAGGGCACTCCCCAGTGTGCTAAGGACTTCTCACTAGGCCCAGCTCCTACACAACACAACTGCATCAGCTTCTATCCTCTCAGTGTGTTAGCCACGGACTTTGGGATTAGCGATCCATATGCATGAGCTGGGAGCCAGACCAAGTTCAAAGTGTAGCCCTGCCTAAGAAACGTGGAGATGGTGAACCAGGACTTGAATTTTGGTCTGCTTGGGTACGGTGCCCCAAGGTTTCCTGCTACTGAACACTATTTCTGAACTCATGAGCAAGGATGCCATGACGCAGAGGGGATAAGCACTGGCCTAGTACTAGCGAAATGAGGCAGGGGAGAGGAGGGTATACACCCGAGCCCAATCCGTCCATCGGTGTCACAGAAGAAGGCCAGTGACACATTTCAGAAGCCAGCTGCATTGTTCTCTTGGTCCCGAGCCACCGGGACATGTGCTTAAAGATGTGATAACTTTCTGGGCTCTCCACAGCCCATTAGTAGGGAGCTGGATCAGAAACTGAGCAATAGGGACTTGAACCAGCACTCACTCCAACATGGAATGCCAGCACTGCTATCAGCGGCTTCATCTTCGGTATCACAATACTGTCCCCAAGATGATTTATTATTCGGCATGAACCTAAAACAACCCACCAGATGAGTTTAAATTTCTGAAAACCTAGGGGCATCTGCCCTCTGCTTTCACTCAAGCTATGGAGTGGAAAATGAGAATGTGGTGAGCACCCATAGTAAACTCCACCGCCCTTGCGCCTGTTGCAAAATCATGCAACTGCTGGGGAGAGAGACAGGAAATCCTTTATCACTTCCTGTGACTGATCTGCTAGCTTTAGTGTCCCATGTCCATCTGTTCCCTTCTAATCCTTCACAGACAATCTGCCAAGCACGTGGGACACAGGGCCTGGGAGCAGCCAATGCAGCCCCACCCTGGTCATGGGGTGCAGGGAGAGCTGCAGGATTCTGGGTCCTCTCACTTTGCTAAGAAGCCAAACCTGCACACTGTGGTAGCTTCACCTCTGGGCAGCCTACAAACGGCCATTCTGCCTTGCCTCCTTCCCACTTAGCCTGTGAACCCCATGGCACACAGCTGGCCCTTCACATTCCACAAGTAGGTATATGAGCTTTCCACATGTTCCAGACTTATTGATCCTCAATGAGTCTTTGATCTGCTTGGGTTCCAATGTTAGAGCGACTGTTCCTGCACTCTGGAGAAAGAGACTGTAGGTCTAGTAGTACCCTCACATGCAGGCTTTTTGTTTTTCTTTTTAAGTATTTATATTTATATAGACCTTCCATCTGCTAGTTTACTCCAAAAACAGTCGCGATGGCCAGTGCTAGGCCAGGCCAGGAACAAGCACTTCATCCGGGGTCTCTGACCTGAGTGGCAAGGGCCCAAGCACTTGAGCCAAATTCTGCTACTTTCCCAGGAGCATTTGCAGGGAGCTGGGTCAGGAAGGAGGCTTTAGCCACTATGCCACAGCTGCACCCCCTCGTACCCAGGCCTTAACTAATGCCTGTCAAGTGGGGGCCGTAGGTCCTTTACAGATGGGACACTGCTGGAGAGCTCCCCTGACCAGCTCTTCCAACGGAGCCAGTAAGAACAGAACACGGAAGCCCTCGTTCCTCAGTGAGCCCAGTGGGGACTGTCCACCACGGAAGATGCACGCCGCCATGGCTTTCCATGCGTTCTTCATTTTCTTACTGGTGGGGTGAGAGGGCTGCAAAGGAGGGCTTCCCAGCTCTAAGAAGTATTTTCCCAGCTCTAATAAGTATTTTTTTTTCACAGACAAAATATGGATAAGAGAAGCATATATATCTAAAAATAATCTGAATTGCAGTGATCCTGAGAAAATGACTTTTGTGACGAGCACCCTGCAGTATTTAGAAGTTTCTAAGTCGAGGGTCCTAATATTCTTGCAGACACAGCATGAGGGCTGTCTGGGCCCCATGGAGAGCCACCAGGCATCAAAGCTGGGGCAGGTACCCAACTGGCGCCACCACTGCTGTGCTTAGTGGTTGGGTAAGAAGTCCCACTGTGAACCCACCTTCGGGTTCAGAAATAGAAACCAGGCTAGTAAGCATGAGGCAGGGAGACAGGGATCTTGTCTCCACCAGAACAACTTCTGGGTCCCCACGCTGGCTCGCTGTCAGAATATTCCAACCCCACGTCAGACTGTTTATCATTTTATTATTACTTAGTTTAGAGCCACGTGTTGATATTTATATGTACTGTAGCTATTTGTTTCACAAAATAATCGCATTTTTTCCCTCTTAGTCTGTGTCCTATATCCTAGTCCAAGTTAAACTACATGTCATCACAAAAGTCTCAAAGGATGGCCTGGTTTATGATTTGTTTAGAGACAAAATGTGACATTGTGGGACAACTAGTCAAGAGGCAAGGGCAAGAGCCGGTCTCCTTGATTCCTCATCCATGCCACCACCCAAGTAAGGCAAGAGTCAACAGTCAGTTCTAAGTAAAGACACGGAAACCCGTCTAAGTTTTAATAACCTCATTTGAAAACCACCAATTAACCAGGTAAATAGTCCCTTGAAAGGTGTGACAATTGCAATGTGCTATAGTCTTTATATGAGTCAAAACATGCAGTGTGTTTAAAGATGTCAATTTGAATGCTGTGCGCTTATGAAATACATTCAATGCAAGGCAGGGTGATAAGGACTAATACTTAGGGTAAGCTACGTCCAGGAACGGTCAGTGGCCAGTGTCACACACACACTTCTCGGGGCCTGCGGTGGCTGCTCCTTTGGCCGGAGGACTGTGTTTGAGCATGGCAGCTCTGTGCTCAGGAGCCAACCATCAGCATCCTCTGACGCCATGACCCCAACTTTTTGTTTCTCGGGAAAAGCAGTGGGTTATTTTTTTCCCCCTCCTGAATGTTAACCAAGGAGAAAACTTTCCTTTCTGGTAATGAACTTGAGAAGTAAGGA